ATATGTATTGCGTAGTGACTTTAGTAATTAAGATATTTTTCTCAGGGCCATCAGATGGCATAGCGATTTCAGTCCCTGCCCCACAGCTTAAATTCACACCGGGCATGTGTGCGTGTGTGCCCAAATTTCAGAATCTTGTAATTATTTACTTCAGTATGATCTTCCGCTCTAGTCAAACCTTAAGCAAATTGTGACATTTCTCAACCCCCATGAATTAAGATGAGCTCTAGAGTTTCTCAAGGCGTTCAGCCTCTCCACCAATTCCCCGTATCACACTAGGCTGAGGAATGATACTTTCACAAGGCAGAACTAACTCTTTTATTCTCTGGTTCTTTCCGCTGGTCTCACTGATAATAGGTTCCACATGTGCTTGCCCTTTCTCTGCCTTTGCTCATTCCTCACCCTTAAAGGCTGTGACCTTAGTGACCTTCCAGAATATCCGTACGGCCTTTTCTCACCTGAACCCAACAACGCCAGACCTGCTACATGAGGGTTTGGATCTCAGAATATCATTCCTACGTCTGGCCTCTCTCACTGCCTGGCATTGTGTGCCTGCCACGAGACCGGGCTGGCTCGTAAAACATCTCTTTATGTACTTTATTACTTAAACTCTTTTATTTGCCTGCAGGAGCCCTTTAACAAAATCACATTGAATTGACTTTCTCACACCAAATCAAATCTCCCTGGTCCCAGTTCAGTTGTCTTTGTCAATATGTATTTTATAAATGGAGTGAATTAACAGATGCTGTTGGAACAGAAGTGCTGGGGTAGCGTTTATGTTTTTAGTGCTCTCTCTGGGCAGATGAGTTGTGTAGGAGTGTTATACAGGTACCTCGGGATGAAAGTCATGCTAGTCATTTCAGTGGATATGTATTCCTAGCCATTTTCTTTGAATATATTTTAAACCTCTTTATTACTCATTTTTTTTCTTAGTGTTTGCTTATATGGTTTTATCATTTATGCCATTCATCTTGGGTAGACTTGATGATAGCCCCCAGTATTAAGAGATAAAAAGTAAAGCCTATCGTTCAGTAACGACAAGGTTTTCTGTTAGCCATGGAAAACTGATCAGGAGAAGCCTTTGGAATATCCTGCCTTACTTCTATTGCAAATTTTGTCCATGGAAACTTTGGTATGAAACTCTGGGTTGAAATTGTTTCAAAATAGACCATGGAGTTCCTGTGTCCTGGACTCTGACTTTGATAGAATGAATGACTACCACTCTTTACATAAGATAGAAATTGAGAACTTTGCTAAGAAATATAGCCACCGAAAGCCATGGTGTAAGAGTTGTATTGAAAGAAAGTTTTCCAGGATTGCCACATAGCGTAATACATTTTTTGAAAAGTATAATACATAAGTACTACAAAATATGATGCAATGTTTGGGAAGCCTTTTTTTTTTTGCTTTACCCTTTCTTTTGTGATGGTAGCCATAGCGCCATCTACTGGTGAAGAAAAGCATGAATTTCTTTTCTTTCCTCTTTTGCCACTAATTTTGTTCATCCTAAGAACGATTTATCAGAAACTTTTTTCTTCCTTTGAGGTCTAAAATATAAAATCTCTTGACTCAAAATGTGGTCCCTATGATTAATCCCAGAGTGCCAGAGTGATATGTCATATTCCAGACTGCTTTTTACAGCTGTACTATTTTCTCTTCTCTGATGCATGATGTATCATTTTTGGTCTTCTTTTGGAACAGTAGCATATTGGTTTTGCAGATTGAATTATTTAGAAATTCATCAGGAATATATGTTTATAGGCTCTTTCCTTTTCAGTCCTGGTCACTAAGGAAAGGGTAATAACATGTTTGATGTATTAAACTGTGAGTAAAACATTTTATTTACTATTTTCTCCATGGGATCCAATGTAACCAATGGATGTATATTGTTTAGGAAGACAATGCATGCTATTTGATCTGAAAAGTAAACATACACTAGTTCATTGTGTAGCATACCACATTAATAACATCTGCATCTTGTACAAGGAGACTCTCCACCTCTGTACAAATTTAATGAAGAGCCTCTGAAAGAATGGACCAGTCCATCAATAATGCATGACCTATTTTGTTTTTCTTTGGGCATATTTAAAATTGTGCATTCTATGTGTCAAAGTTCAAAAGTCAAGTGCTACATGTGATAAATTAGGTAGGGGTCAAAAGTTATTGCAATGCAGTTTCAGAAGATTGTCTGTCTCCGAATTTGCAGCTCATTCATGCTGAAGTGATGCACTATGGGAATTACTACCAAACTCCGCTCTGCAACATCTGCTCTCCCTAAGTGAGTTAGTGCACGTCAGACATCTTTATGTCAGAATATTGCAGTGATGGATGCAGTCTTCAGAAAATGCTGCATAAAAATCTGGTGTGCCGTTCTGGCCATTAAGTGAAATTACTATTTAAATTAATGGCACTGTCACAGTTTATCTGTGCAAAGAATGAACGCTGATTAGGGTATTAAGTAATTAGCAATTTATCACACTGGAACAAGGTTGATAATAATTAAAGAAGTAATGGTTTACCAAAGAAACTAGAAAAGGAGTCACTTCTTGTTATGTGAGAGAAATCTTGGCTGAAGATTTCAATTCAGTAGAAGAAAGACGAAGCTCTTTGTGAAAGAAACATCCTCTTTTTTTTCCCAGTGTAAAAACAGTTCATTATCAAAATTAGAGTTGACCTGTCAAAAGTCCCTCAGAGCGATCAGATGACTGATTAGGAGTTTCGAATTAGGTCAATGTCTGCATTTTGATTTTATACTTAAAGCACAGTGAAACCATGAAGTAATTTGGGAGGAAAGAGGGAGAATTTATTTTGTTCCCTGAAGGGCCAGTTTTCAGATTTTTGATTGCTCTTTAAAAATAGAAACATGAATTGTTTTTAAAAAACTGCTAGAGGAAAAAAATGGTAAAGAATCCAAGGTTGTATTTAAATGCCTTATCAGAAGGCAGCAGAAAAAAATGTCCAAACAATTAAAAATTGGAAGCTATAGACATTTCTCTTTATTTTATGTCTGTGTGTACACACATGTCTGTGTGTGTATATATAAATATATATTTATGTACCGTATGCTCCTGTGATTACTCACCATAATCAAGATTCAGACTGCAATGACAGTCCAGCTATGGGTATTTATTTGAGAAAACGTTTTCTGGAACTATTAAAACAACTAAGATTATTAATGTAACAGTTTATTGTTACACCAGTTACTCTGAAGAGTTATCACATTTACATAAACATGGTAAGTCCAACTCTATTATGATCAGTCTATATCATCAATCATAAATAAATTTTTTAAATACTGGGAATTTGTTTTTGAAGTAGAAAGATCAGGGAGAGAATTCTTCGGAATCATGTGTGATTAAACATCTTTCTTAAGGTATGTGCCAAACCAGTGGCTACTTTTAATCATTTAAAAAACAAAAAGCACCTAAAACTCCTTTATCTATTATTAGGAGTGTCTTGCATAATGTAGGTGTTTGTACAGGACCAGATTAAACAATTCAGGACCCGGGGGCTCTTTGAATTTGAGGTGCTTAATGTTATCAGTCTGGACTAATAATAAATAAACAAAAATCTAATTAAAATAAATCATTCATCACATTGTGCTGCTATATAGCTGGATATATTAATAAATTCTAATATGATAGCACTGTGACATGGAGTATGAGCACCTTACTGTCTAGCTTAATCAGGCTCTCGAGTATTATTTATTTATTCATGCTTTGATGTCAAAAATTTCTGGTATTTCTGTTTTCTGGCAATATCTAAATGAGAAGAACACAGGCAATTAAAATGAATTTGGTAGGAGAAAATAGTCTATTTGTTATATCAAGAACAGGTGTCTTTCTTTCATTGAGATGTAGAAATCAGCAATCCTCCCTACCAGGTCTTTTGCTGCTGCCACCAACCTGTCACCCTTGTCTATGACAGGTCTAGAGTGTGGCTTTAAAACTAGTGGCTGATTGGTGCGCCGAGACAGTGAACCACTATCTGAACCACGCTCAGATGGTTTTGAACATCAAATCTATGCCCTAGTGAAAGAATAGTTACTATTGTGGCTGACTTCCCAGGAAGTACTTGTATATACTAGACAAAGCTAGGCCAAAAGCAATACTTGTTTTCTAGACAAAGCCAAACCAAAACTTAGAAGGTTTCTACTATAGGCTTTCCATTTCTAGGATGGTGCTGCTTTTTCACCCTGTCTGGCTTCTTTCCCAGAGTACTTTAGTGAGTTTTTCTCCCTAGTGACTTTCTAGAGTGTTCCCTGAGTCCCTATAGTTTAACTAACCTCTTTCTTTCTTTTTTTTAAAATTATTTAATTACATTTGTTTTTTTTTATTTCATGTTCTTTTATACATTCAATCACATTATTTAGCTTGCAAGTAAATATTTCAACAGGTGAACATTTCTCCCTAGTCCAGTTGATAAAACTAGAAAATATTCAACAGATAATACCACATTTCTTTGTCCCATTAATGCTTTGCCTCCCTATTTTTCTTTTAAATGTCATTCTTCAGACTCTAATCTTTCACACACACTGTATCTGGAATTTACAAAAGAAAAGTGAAAAAGCAAGCCTCCAGGTCCAAGACTTGAACCATCGTCAGCCATGTAGGAGTCTAGCGCCTTAGCCAACATGCCATCTGCTGGCCCTTAACTAACCTCTTTCTGTAACAAGAGGTTATCATCACCAAATGGGCAGGTAGTTTTCATGACAGAAATCCGATCTTTTTTTTTTATGGAGCGTGGGAGAAGTTTGGCCCAGCCAAATGATTTCTGAACATTTCCTCTTGTGTGTTCTTTTCCTAATTAGTGTCTGGTGCTCTTGGTAAGAAGGACCCTCCGTGCACATTTAAATCACCTGGGTACGGAAATACTACTTTAGGTACTGCACCATTTCAGCAACTGCCTGAGTCTGACATTTTTATACCAAACTTTATAGCAGCCTCAGTTTTCTTCCCTTTTTTTATTTCATATTCATATATAACACTTTATTGTTGCAGGTATGTTCTGTTGTGGGCAGGATTATGTGAATATGTCAGATACCATATGCTGCTCAGCTTCCAGTGGAGAGTCTAAAGCACATGTTAAAAAGAATGACCCAGTGCCAGTAAAATGCTGTGAGACTGAACTTATTCCAAAGAGCCAGAAATGCTGTAATGGAGTTGGATATAATCCTTTGAAATATGTTTGCTCTGACAAGATTTCAACTGGAATGATGATGAAGGTAATTGATAGAAAACCTCTCAGAGACGCTGATTTGACAATGGAAAGAGAAATACATTGTTCATAACTATTTTTCTAAAATAGGAATAAAAAAACTCCTGTGTGCATTATTCATTTTCACATTACATCCATATTAATACCGAATGAGTTCGCTATGATTGATGTTATTGCAATGAATTCTAAAGGAATTAATAATGATTAGCTATTCTCCAGGAAGCTTTACCCAGCACTCCAGATGAGTGCAGGACGGAAAGTCTGTGTGCTCAGAGAGCCAGCACAGGTCGTCTGGGGCCTCTGCATGAGGCCATTTCATGCCTGTGAGCACTGTGGATGGAGACGGAAGGAAATTCCCGCTTCTTCCTGCTCTCCTGCCAACCGTAACAATCCGCACCAGTTACCTTTGATAGAGATCTTAAATGCAGCAAATTTACTTAGTTGTGTTTATATTGTATTCCTGTAGACTGTGCAAGGTGAGTGAATGCTTCTGTCCGTCACAAAAGGGAATAGGTGTGTACATCACCATTGTGTTTATATGATGTTTCACGGTCGTGTCATGTCTGTGGGCTTTGAGCTTGACCTAAGACTCCAAAAACCTGTTATCTCAAGGAACGGATCTTGGATATTCAAAAAACAAACACCCTACCATGTTCCGTAGTAATCCATCATGACTTCTACGTTCTATTTAGACTGTTAAACGTAAGTGCCTGGTCACAGAAAATGGAAGAGCACTCGGTGATGAGGCAACTGCACAATCCTTGTGTGGACATTACATACTTTGTGATATGAAGTGACTCTCATAAGATTCTTAAGGCCCCTACGAGAACTTTGTAGCAATGAATGAATAAGATAATATGTAAGATTGATTAAATTAATATGACAAGGACTGTAGTTCTCCATGCTGAATTAAGTCATATGTTACAGATAAAATTCAATCTACAGGTTCAATATTGTTTCCTGAAGACTTCACTAGTGGAGACATCCATCTTCTGCTTCAGTATGAACTGAATCACTATAGGATTTCTGCACAACCATCCTTTCAGTTCTTCCCCATGTTGTCAACTCAGGAGTTTCTTTTACCCCTTCCCTGTGTTCTGGAACCCATGTTTTCCTTTTGGAGAAATATCTTCCTGAGTATAGAGGCCTATATAGGTTTGAAAAAGTTGATGTATTATATTAGCATTCTACCATTCAGCTAGACTGAAATCCAATTCATGGTTAAGGACCAGCCCTATAGCCCAGTGGCTAAAGGAGCTGCATCCCATGGGACTGAGTACACGATTCAAATTCCAGCCCTGATGGCTTAGAAAATACTGGGCACATATGTATACATGCTCAAAACCCCGACAGGATGTTGAAAACAGAGAAGGGATTGTGCTTTGACCATGCTCCAGAGAGGTTGCAGTGGGGGGAAGGGCATGCTTTCTTCTATTCTTCCTCTCTCTGGCAAGTACATGCTCCCTCTGGCAAATTTTTTGAAAACACAAGATTAAAAATCATTTCAACTCAGAATTTTGAAGGTATTTCTGCATTTTTAAGCTTTCATTGATACTTTGATTCCTGTCTCTTTGTGGGTAATCATGTTATTTTTCCTATGAAAACTTTTAAGATGTGCTTTTTATCCTGCTCTTCTAAAATTTCATGACAATGTGCTTCCACATGGATGCTATTATTTACTTTTTTTGTGATGAGAAAATTTAACATCTGTCATCTCAGAAATTTTTTTTTCATTTTCACATGACAATCCAAAATGAGTCAGGCAGTTCCCTTCCAAGCAACATCTCAGGACCCCAGGCCCTTCCCATCTTGGGGTGCTTCACATGGAGCCCTCCTCTGGGAGAGAGAGCATGAACAAGTAAACATTGATGAGTCAGACTGGGATACAGAGTACATCCTTCCTGCGCTCTAGCATACAGACATATCTAGTCATGTGACTACTCCTACTGGAGCTAGGTTTGAAAAATCTCATGTTCCCAGGAAGAAAGGGAAAAAGTGGATGTTACTGAGCCCGTTGCATTGTCTCTGCCACACACATCTACTCTCCAGCCTCCAAAAATGTTTGAGCTGTCTTGTGTGTATTATTCCCTAGACTGTCCTATTTAAACTATTCTGCTGTCATTTGTTTGGGCTTTACGAGGAAGTCAAGATAAATGTAAGTGCCCAATTCACCATGTTTAAATGGAAGTCCCACTACATTTTTCTGAAACAGCTTTATATTGACTGACTTGGTGAGAATAATTTAACTTATTTTATGTAAAAAAAAAAAAAAGGAGGTTTGAAAGGAGATCAATTTTTAATAGCAAAATGTTTTTAAAATACATTATCCTACTTATACTAGGGAAAGGCAAAATAGATCTCTGCATTTTAAAAATATTACCTTATTTATAGCTCTCACACTTTGGGATGATTAAGTATTTAATTCCCTTTGATTGGAACATGCTCATATTCATTTTTTAATAACTATAAGAAGTCCAGAGAGTTGGGCCAGAAGGTGACATCGTAGTTTAAGGCAGTGGATTCCATGTGGCCAACTCCATGGTTGTAGTCCTAGACTTGGTAGTTTGAGAAAACATACTGGGCACATGTGCACGTGTGCCCAAAATCCTGAGAGGTGAATGGAGGAGAAGAGATTGTGGCATGGCCATGCCCCCTAGAGGGGTGATTTCTCACTTTCCTTATGTCTCTCTCCATTTCTCTGTGGCATACATGCACTGTGGGAAAAAAAAATCTTAAAATAAATAAATAAATAAATAAATAATGTCTGGGACCAGCAGATGACATAATGGTTATGTTGCTGGACGCCCATGTAGTTGACTGCGGTTTGAGTCATGGACCTGGCAGCTTAAACTCATGCCAGGAATGTGTGCATGCATGCCCAAAATCCCAAAAAGAGAATGGAGGAGAAGGGATTGCGGCATGGCCATTCCCCCTGGGGGGTGATTTCTGTCTCTCTGGCAAGCACACATGCCCTACAAAAGTTAATAAAAAAAGAAAAAGCCAGAGATTCATTAGAGAAAAGGTGTATAATATAAATAATTATAATGACAGTTCATGAAATAGTTAAAATTTTCTAAAACTTGTATGAGTAATATTTCTTATGGAATCAACTTTCCTCAACATTTTTAGGAAATCCAGTTTCTCAAATACCACTTTTTTTTTTTTAATCTTTAAAACTCCATAGGAAAGTATCAAAGTGACAGTAGTAAAATAATGACTACTATTACTACTCACGTATATAGTAAAATAAGTTTAAGGCATTTACAGGTGCTACTTCATTTAATTTACACAGCAAACCTTCACCATAAATGTAATTTCCATTTTCCCACTGAAGAGGTTGAGATTTTGAGAGCATACATTACTTGCTCAAGGTCACAGGGTTAGGAAGTTGAGAAAGTGGAATTTGAATCCAAATGTGTCATTTCGAAGTAACAACTCTTTCTAGGATACACACTGCCTTTGTTTCCTTTTGTGAATTATGAAGTATTCATCAATGAGGAAGAGGGAATTTTTGTTTGAAAGTTTTTAAAGTCTATCCCATGTATGTCTAAGTGAAAATTTAAAATTTCTTCCTCTTTCTCTTCCTCCCAATCACTCAACCTAGGAAACCAAAAAGTGTAAGACTCTCTGTCCAGCATCGATGGAGGCCACGGCGGTGGGGGGTGACTTCGATTTCACCAGCCATGTTTGTATCATGGTAAGAAGGACTCACAATTCCACAGAGAAGGCATTAATGGGAGAAATATGTTCCTCGGCTGAAGAAATCATTCACACAGGAAGTGTAAACACATACTCCTTCACAGGTAACAGAAAGTGAACTGTCCACCCATGGTTTAGTAGAAGTAGTGAGAAACTGCTGAAAATGCATTTATTTCACTCTGACATCATCTCTCCATAACCTGGTATCAATAAATCCCATTATACATTCAGCTATTAATAGCTGATAATTAAGGAATAATCTGGGTGTATTTAAAAAGAGTGGTTTAAAATTTGGGGAGCCAGCCCCACAGCCTAAGGGTTAAGAGAATTAGATCCCACATGGCTTACCATGGTTTAAATCCCAGCTTTGGTGGCTTGGAAAACACACCAAGCACGTGTCACACATACCCACAATCTGACAGGATGGAGAATGGAGGAGAAAGTGGTACAGCATGACTATGCCCCACTGGGGGAGCCTTTTGTCTCTCTCTTTCTGTCCCTCTGGTGAGCACACATGCCTTCTGGTGATTAAAGGTAACATTTTGTTTTTAGGTCTAACTTTAAACAAAGATGTATAGTTTTTGTACTTTCACTGTTGTTTCAGGGCATATGCACTTGCCAGAGAGAGACAAAGGGAGAAAAAGAACAAGAGGGAAAGTAAAAAATTACCCCCCAAACTCCCTTCCCATGGGATGGTCATGCCCTAATCCCTTCTCCTCTGTTCTCCACTAGGGATTTTGAGCATTCATGCACATGTGCATGCACACACACCTGCCTGGCATGTTTTCCAAGGCATCGAGTCTGGGACTCGAACCATATACTCGGCTTTGTGGGATCCAGCTACCTTAACCACCATACCACCTGGCTAGCCCAAAGATGTATACCATGTTACAGTAAATCCATAGAGAACAGAAAATAGATCAGTAAGTGTTCTTTTCTGATATATCCATTTAATTTACAATAAACCAAAATTTATTTTTCAAAAGCTCAAATGCAGCTTTCAGTGAATGCTTTGAATGATATTGCTATATTTACAAGATGAAAGAAGGCTAGAACTTGTCTGATTCCTTGGAAAACTTAACAGGATTATTCTGAGGAGAAGATAAATCCAAGTGTACTGGTTTCCCAACATGGCTGATAATTTTAGAAAGAATAACCTTTGCAGTCATTGCAAATGTTAATTTCCAAGCATCATCTTGCTCTTGTAGAATTAGTCCAAAATAGTGGCTTTTAGCCCTGACCAAGCTGAAGAAGAAACATTGTAAAGTTTAGGATTATCTCTAAAATAGTTTTGCCATCTATTAATGTTTTATTATTCATCCATTTACTTAGTCCCTACAGAATGAGTTTCTGAAAAAAAAAAATCAAGCGTGTCTCTGCGTGTGTGTATGTGTGAGAGAGAGAGAGAGATCTGTCATCACAAATACACTCCATTTGTCTGATATAATTTCAGCAAGCTAAGATTAAATAAATAAACAAAACAATGTTCTATTCCATCATGAATGCTGAGTGTAATAGCACAACGCAGGAATGGTGAAAGTAACACAGGATACTGAGATAATGGAGGAAGATTGAGGAAGGAATGAGAAATAGAGGAAAAGTTTGTTTTTTTATTATATTATTATTTTTTAGAGGTTTTTGCTACAGGACACATGCACTCACCAGAAAGACAGAGAGAGACAGAGAGATAGAAAGCAAGAAATCACTCCCAAGGGGGGATGGCCACGCTGCAATCCCTTCTCCTCCATTCTCCTCTCAGGATCTTGGGCACACATGCACATACGTCCGGTGTGAGTTTTAAGCCACCAGGTCCAGGACTCGAACCACGGTCGACTACATGGGAGTTCAGCGACATAGCCATTACGCTAACTGCTGGTCCCTATTTTAATTTATTTCGTACATTCAATCACTGCACATCACCACAGCTTGTAAAATGAATTTACCCAACATGAACATATTTTCTACCAATCCATTTGAAGATAGAAGACACATTATTACCAACAGACAATTCTCCATTTCTATGTCCCTCAAATGTCTTGCCTATCTATTTTTCTTCTTGATTCCTTTCCTTTCACCCTCCCTCATCTCCCACCCTCTTACCACACTGTCTCCAGTATCCATAACCTCTCTCCATGCTTCTATATCCTCTAATCTTTCAGTTTCCACCATAGAGTGTGGACAGTCAGTATATATTAAGTAGAGACATACAATGTGTCTCTTTCATAGCCTGGCTTGCTTCACTCAGCAGAGAAAAAGTTTATTGAACATGATTTGGTCCCAACCCTGTGCTCAGCATTTTAAAACTTTACTTTAAGGTATCCGCAGGTGGCATGGAGGTTAAGGAGATTGGATACCACATAGCCAGCTCTGAGGTTAGAGTCCAAGACCTGGGTCTTTGAAATCATGCCAGGCTCATATGCATGTGTGCCCAAAATTCTGAGAGGAAAATTAAGGAGAAGGGATTGCAGTGTGGCCGTCCCCTCTGGAGGGTGATTTCTCACTTTCCCTCTCTCTTCCTTTGTCTCTCTCCAGCAAGTCCAAGCACCCTATAGCAAAGACTAAAATAAGACATAACAAAACAAAACAAAAAGAACTTATCTTAGTTACCCACAAAGCAATCATATTAGTATGTTTTTAAGCAAATGTAAATTAAGGATCAGACCTATAAATGTACTTGTTGATAAGGAAACAGATTCAAATCATGTTATCTTGTAAGTATGATAGTTTTTACTTATGAAGAACAGTTTGAAATGGAATAATAAAAAAGTCTTTTCATACAGTGATCTTATCTTAAGGAGCTGAATATCATATCCAAAGAGTATTGTTCTAGGCCAACCTTGGCAATTTTGGCTGATAGGACTTGGATAGGCCCAGACTCTAGTAATACATGGTATACAGGCTCCTATCAGATTGTGTCCTTAAACTGTTTCTTTCACTTGAAACAGGTCCTTTGTCATCACCAGTCAACATCCATTTCCTCAGCCTTGTCTCTCCTCTGCTCCTATGGAACATTGTTCACAAAGTTCTTTTCTACCTTGTGTCCTATTCAGATTTAAGACATAAATGTGTCCTATACATTAGACCCTGTCCCCTCTCTTATTAGTCTGAAATACCCTTATGAATAGGGCATCTTTGTTACCTTTACCTCATTATTTGGATGTAACACACTGTACATAAACAAAAAGTATTGATTGGAATGAATTTGATTAGGAAAGTCCTCAGGAGAGGGAACAATTTGTCCAGCCCTCTAATCTCTTCCTACTTTCAGTTATATATTTAAACCATGAACCTTCATTTTTAAATTATTGGACTTCCATCTGAGAGGACTCCCTACTTTTATCTCCTCCTTGTAACCAAGGTCAAGATTTTTGAAGGACTTTTAAGACATACTTACAATAGCCCTCTACAGGACTGAATAGATGTTTCTACCCACTGACATAGTATTGAGAGGGCTTTTAAAGTTCATATTTTAACTTGCTTTGCCTGCTGTAAAATACTATAAATTTAATATGAAAAATAACCTTTCTTTTTCATGAAAAACATGAAGCATGCAAGTTGTGCTGTGATAATTCCATGGAGACCAATTTAGAAAAAGTAGTCAGACTTCTAAAAACTTAGAATTGAAAGCTGACAATATGAGCTGTTTCATCTGTTCTGTTAATATCTATTAATATCACAAACTAGGTAGTTTATAAAGTTGACTCAGCTTACAGTTTTGGAGGTCTAAGGTTACGGGGTGGCATCTGGTCATGCCCATTAATGTGAGGTTTCTAAAGACTCCCAAGACTGTGTTTAAAATCACATGATGAGAGAGTGAAAAGTTGTGTATGTGTCCTTGTCTTTCTCTGGTCTTATTCCCCCGTCCTTATAAATCTACCAGTATCCAGTAATGGAGGCCCCCAGCTTGACAATCTTACCTAATCACTTCCCACAAGATCTACCTCTTAATGCCATCATACCATCATACATTTCAACATGTGAATTTCGAGGTGGGGGAACCACATTCAAACCACAGCACCAAAATTTAGTGCTGACCAAAATTCATTCATTCTTGCTATCATTCATTTATCAAAAATGCTTTTTAAGTATCTGCAAATAACCAATCGTATACTAGGGCATGCAGCTATAAAAACAAATAAGAATTTCCATCAGAGATCAGAAGCCTATATGAAGAAATGGGGAAGAAAATACATAATTACACTATAATATGGTAAGTTGTGTACATGTAAGTACTATAATAGAAGTAAAATCATTGTCCTATGATGCTTTTCAATAATATTGCAAGCTGTCCAGACTAGAAAGAAAAGAAGAACGTCAAGAAAGACCATATGCCTGAGTTGAGAACTGTGAGCGCCTATTGAGCTAAAGGGTAGAAGACCAGCCAGAGCTTTTGCAAAGCCCAGGAAGCAAGAGAAGGCCCAGTAAAGATTTGAAAAAGACGAAAATTTAGGAGAAAGTCATTAGAGATGAGGCCAAAGAGCAGGGGTCAGATTAAGACAGACTTTGATGCCACACTATGTAGTTTGCTTTTATGCAAAAATGAGGGGCCAACATACGATGTAGTATTTATGTTGCTGGACCCCACATGACTGACCACAGTTCAAGTCCTGGACCCCGAGGCTTGAAAATCATGCCAGGCATATGTGTGTGCATGCCCAAGATCCCAGCATGAGAATGGAGGAGAAGGGATTGCAATGGGGCCATCCCTGCTGGGGGGGTGATTTCTCACTTTCCCTCTCACTATGTCTGTTTCATTCTCTGGTGAGTACATGTGCCCTATGGCAAAAACCTCTTTAAAAATAAGTAGATGATAAAGATGTTTAAGCAATGAAATGACACAATTATATATGCATTTTTTATGTTTTTTTTAATTGCCAGAGGGCATGTACACTCTCCAGATAAAGAGAAACAGGGAGGAAGACCCCCTACAATGGAATGTGACTACGCCTCATTCTTTTCGCCTTTCTTCATTCTGTCAGTCCATGTGCCAGTATGTTTTCAAGCTGCTGAGGCTAGGATTTCAGCCATGTGGGATCTGATTCCCTTAACCAGTAGGCCCCAGGGCTGGCCCTATAAGCACTTTTAAAAGGATAACTTTATCATTTATTAAAGAAATGACTGAAGTAAAACAAATATGAGTTTCTTCAAAAGTTTATGGAAAATGCCTGTTATGAAAAAATTTTACATGGGTTTCAATCTCTTTTGCACCAAAATAAACTCATACTTTAACTCCATACAAGAATTTTTGAAATCTCCTTGTATGTATGGAACATTTAAGAAATTATCAAACAGGGTCCAACAGATAGCAGAATGATTATGTTGCTGGACTCCCACATAGTCAACCACCGTTCAAGTCCCAGACCCAGTGGAGTGGCTGAAAACTCACACTGGGCATGTATTGCATGTGTGCTCAAGATCCCAAGAGGAGAATGGAGGAGAAGGGATTGCAGCATGACCATCTATCCTGAGGGGGATGATTTCTCACTTTCTGTCTCTCTGTCTCTCTCTGTCTCTCCAGCAAGCACACCCACACTATAGCAAAAATCACTCTTTATAAAAGAAAAAAAAGGGAAAAGAAATTAACAAATAAGCAAAAAGAGAAAGACCTTCCTTTTTTTATTTTTTTTAATTTTTTATTATCATCATAATCTTCTTTATATCTGTTTCTCACTAACGTCCTGTCTCTCTATTGTTCACTTGCTATCTTTCTCTATCCTCTTCTCTTCACTTACCCCATTCCACACTGTCCTATTCTCATTAAGTACCTTCACTGTGTTTATGTCCTCCGAATTTTTGCTCTCTATTATAGAGTGCGGATAGTCGGTATATATTGAGTGGATACATACAATATCTTTCTTTCATAGCCTGGCTTACTTCACTCAGCAATAGATCCTCCATATCTGACCATTTTCTATCAAATTCCAGGGTCTTGTTATTTTTTATGGCTGAGTAGTATTCCATAGAGTATATATGCCACACTTTTCCAATCCATTCATCAGTTTGTGGACATTTAGGTTGGTTCCATGTCTTGGCAATTGTGAATAATGCTGCAATAAACATTGATGTGCAAGCACTTTTCTGACTGAGCATTCTCCTGTCTTTTGGGTAAATACCCAGAAGTGGGATTGCTGGATCAAATGGTAGTTCTATTTGTAGATCTTTGAGGAAACTCCATATCGTTCTCCACAGTGGTTGAACCAGTTACATTCCCACCAACAGTGTAGGAGGGTTCCCTTTTCACCACATCCCCGCCAACACTAATCACTTTTTATATTCTTAATCTTTGCCATCCTGACAGGAGTTAGGTGGTATCTCATTGTGGTTTTTATCTGCATCTCCCTTATGATGAGGGATGTTGTGCATTTCCTCATATGCTTTTTGACTGTTCATATGTCTTCCTTAGAGAGATTTTTTTTTCAGCTCCTTTTCCCATCTTTTAATTGGGTTCATTATTTTTTTTCGCATAAGGTACTTGAGTTCCCTGTGTATTCTGGTTATCAGTCCCTTGTCTGAGGCATATTTAACAAAAATATTTCCCCATTCTGAGGGTTGTTGGTTCACACTTGATACTGTGTCCTTTGCTGTGCAGAAACTTCTTAGTCTAATATAGTAGGACCTTCCTTTTTGATCCTCAGTCTGAGAGTCATCTGGAAACCACTACACTAAATAAATAAATAATAAATATTTTAAAAATTAAATAAGCAATAAAACAAATTTAGAGGACCAACAGATGGCATAATGATTATGTTGCTGGACTCCCATGTAGTTGACTGCAGTTCGAGTCCTGGACCCGGTGGCTTAAACCTCGTGCCAGGTGCATGTGTATCCAAGATCCCAAAATGAGAATGCAGGAAAAGGACTGTGGTATGGCCACCCCCCCCCCCCCCCGGGGGGGGGGGGTTTGTGGGGTGATTTCTCCCTTTCTCTTTGTCTCTTTCTGTCTCTCTGATGAGTACCTGTACCCTATAGCAAAAAATTTCTCTCAAAAAAAATTAATTTAAGAAATTTAACTTTCAGATCTTTTTTTGGTTAATTTGTACTTCTGAAATTATTAAAGCTTAAAATGAAACCAAGATTTTGGGAACACCATTAAACCACCGTCAGTCATGTATTTAATAATACAATTTTTGTCAGTCTAACAGCTCAGTAGGTTTGATTTAGTTTTGTTATGTTAGTTAGGTTAGTTGTTTCGGGCTTTGGTTTCTGGGGTTTTTTTGGTAGAAAGTGTAGGAAGTATGAAATATGTATTTACTAACACGGTACCCTGATAAGCTAAGTTCAAACCCTGTGCCTCATAACAACTACATTATAATTCATGTGATATTTTCATGAAGTGATATTAGCAAAGTAATACTTGGAGAATTTATAACAGTGAAACTATAAAAGAATGATAGTAAACCTGTTTCATCCTAAAGTTAAGAGTATTCCAAACTTGTGAAACCTTAACATCCAATTTTATATATTAGGTCATTTTCTCTGTTTTTCAATGCAAAAATGCATCACGACTTTTCCAATGACCCGATACACCAGTCTCACACTTTTATTTTCCATCATTGCTTTAATATATCCAAATAGGGAATACTATTCTGTGTAATTCTGTATCGGTGCCTTAAATTTTTTTCCATGATTTATAAAATGAAAATAGTAGAGTTCTATTTCTATACGAAGGGATTAGAGTGTTAAACATTTATTTTTAGATGTTAAAGATTATGATGTTCATTTTTAATATGTTAATAAACAAAAATTAAAATGAGAAAAGCCTCATCATGTGTTTTGTGTTTTTCCAGATGTGAACCTCCAGCCCTACATGGTGTACGAGTACAGGATTTGTGCATGGAACAGCTATGGCCGAGGCTTCAGCCAAGCTGTTAGGACCAGCACAAAAGAAGACGTGCCTCAAGGAGTGAGCCCCCCAAGGTGGACCAAAATGGACAATCTCGAAGATGCCATTATCTTAAACTGGAAGAAGCCTATACAATCAAATGGTATTAAACCACTTTCAAATTAGAGAAACATTATCCAGTAAATCTATAAAGAAATTAAATGCATAGAATATAGATGCAAATCAGTATGCATCTAGCCGCTAGAAAAATATTGACTGATGAAGAAAACTTTAGCTATGGGTCGATCAATCATTCACTTGTGGTGTGGCGCTCATCCATTTTTAGCTAAAATAAATAAATACAATTTTCTTGAATCTCAATATGTATCTGAGCCACGTTCAAAGACCAAAGCATATCTAGGGGAGGTAATTGCTGTGGCATTGAAAATAAATTTGTTTGCTAGTGAAGGGAATACACATAAGTGACTCCTTGATTATCTATGTCAAGAATCCATCTCTTTCACAGTGATATAATTAAGAACTGCTTGAGCATAGCATTATAATAGCAAATTAAAATTAAATTATAATATAGTACCTATTTCTTCAGAACAGTAAGACAAGCATATGGTTTGTAAATAGTTCAAAGAATATGACACCAAATACAGGTATTTCTCTACATCTTTTAGGTCCTATTCTTTACTACATTCTTCTCCGAGATGGAATCGAACGCTTTCGGGGAACCTCACTGAGTTTCTCTGATGCACAGGGAATTCAGCCATTTCAGGAATATTTCTATCAGCTGAAAGCTTGCACGGCTGCTGGCTGTGCCACTAGTAGCAAGGTAAGGGGGATTGCCTGACTATAGAAAGAAGGGTCCAGTGTGAGGGCTACATGGACATCCAGGTTGTGAGTCATTCTTCTGATGACAGAAAGCCTTCAAAGTGGTGTTAAGTAGAGGGTTCATGTATCATCTCATCTAGGTGCTAATACTTATACATTGGATATTTAAGAATTAACACCTTTCTTCTTCTTCTCTTCATAGGTCATATGCACTCATTAAAGAGAGATAGAGAGAGAGAAAGAGAGAGAAAGTGAGCAATCACCCCCCAAGGGGGATGGCTATGCCTCAATCCATTCTCCTCCTGGGATTTTGAGCATGCATGCATGTGCACCCAGCATGATTTTCAAGCTGCTGGATCTAGGACTTGAACTGCGATTGGCCATGTGGGAGTCTAGCACCTTCACCACCACACTACCTACTGTCCCCACAATGAACACTTCTGAAGAAAGAAAGAGATTACTGTATGGGAGATTTATTTAAATAACAATGTTTTATTAGGAAAAAAAAAGAAAAACACATGAAAATTTGCATTGATGTCATCTTTTTCATAGGCCTCCTCCACCCATTATTTTCAGGTAATCGTCTCTAAACCCATAAAAATTTCTAAACCAGGGGCCAGCCAATGGTGGTAGTTAAAGCACTGGACTCCCACATGGCCAACCACAGTTTGAAAAATCAGGTCAGGCATGTCTGCGTAAGTACCCAAAATTTCAAGAAACTGGAGGAGAAAGGATAGTGAAATGGTCATTCTCCCTGGGGAGTGATTTCTCACTTTCTCTCTCTCTCCCTCTCTCTCTCTCTCTCTCTACCTCTCTTTGTCTGGTGAGTGTACCTACCCTTTGGCAAAAGCCTAAAAAATAAACAGAAAAAAATTCCAAATTATTCTTTAGTCAAAAGGGGCTTCTATCTAAATATCATATCAACAAAACCTGTCTGCTCTTAAAAAATAGGGAAAAGAGCAAAAAAGCCTGGCATAGAAAATAAATATAATAGTTCCAAATCTTCTGCAATAGCCTTGGCAAGAAATAACGAAGACCTGAACTCAGACACCAGGGATCAGAATGGAGACTATCCAAAGGATACAGCAGACATTGGAAGACAAAATCCATAAGACTTTGTAGTCAGTTATATGTAGAGAAATGAAAGAGTTGTGGATATTTTTTGTTTGTTTTTGTTTTAAGAGAGATTTTTGCGATAGGGGATGCACACTCACCAGAGAGAGACAAAAAGCAAGAAATCATCCCCCAGGGGATGGCCACACCACAATACCTTCTCCTTCATTCTCCTCTCGGGATTTTGAGCATGCACACACACGCACCCAGCTTGCGTTTTAAGTTGCCAGACCTGGACAACTGTGTGGGAGTCCAGCGAAATAACCATTACACAATTTGCTGATCCTGAGTCATGAATAGTTTTTAAGATATCTGGCTTGAGTAAGTCGTGGATAATGGTGACTTTCTACAAGCAAGTAACAAAGGAGGAAATGTTAAAAAATGAAAGAATATGACTATTTTTTTTTTTTTGGAGAGATTTTTCACTATAGGGCGCGTGCGCTCGCCAGACAGATAGAGAGAGACATTAAAGTCAGAAAGCGAGAAATCACCCCCCCAGGGGGGATGGTCACGCCGCAATCCCTTCTCCTCCATTCTCCTCTCGGGATCCTGGGCACGCACGCACACGCGCCCGGCGTGAGTTTTAAGCCACCGGGTCCAGGACGCGAACCGCGGTCGACTACGTGGGAGTCCAGTGACATAGCCATTACGCTAACTGCTGGTTCCCGGAGAATATGACTATTTTTAAGTTAAAACGCATTTCAAGGAAAAGAACAGGTAACAGAAGGTGAAAGCAGTATTGTTTCATACTTTAAATGACAGTTTCTAGCTGAATTAAGGAGTGGCTGGAGTTTGCTAGAAGGATCTATGTGGTAAGATGAAGCAATGAGTTTAAATACGATTGTTCCAGAATGAAGAGGGACGGACAGAATACCACAGATGATGGACATTGGGGAAGGCTACCCAATGAAGAAGAACAGAAAGTTTACAAGGGAGACTGAGAAGAAACAAGCAAACAATTTAGAAGGAAAAATTTTAAAATGAGTCATTTCTTAGAAGCCATTTTTATCAGAGGGGAAGCCTAGGAGGAAACAAACTCAGAACCTCGCCAATGTAAAACCACACCTACATCTCAGTGACCACCAAACCATTCAGTAGAGCATCCTTAACGTGAGCTGTTTGAAGCTACCGGTTTGAGCACTACTGACTATTTTTTTTTTTTTGGAGAGATTTTTCACTATAGGGCGCGTGCGCTCGCCAGACAGATAGAGAGAGACATTAAAGTCAGAAAGCGAGAAATCACCCCCCCAGGGGGGATGGTCACGCCGCAATCCCTTCTCCTCCATTCTCCTCTCGGGATCCTGGGCACGCACGCACACGCGCCCGGCGTGAGTTTTAAGCCACCGGGTCCAGGACGCGAACCGCGGTCGACTACGTGGGAGTCCAGTGACATAGCCATTACGCTAACTGCTGGTTCCCGGAGAATATGACTATTTTTAAGTTAAAACGCATTTCAAGGAAAAGAACAGGTAACAGAAGGTGAAAGCAGTATTGTTTCATACTTTAAATGACAGTTTCTAGCTGAATTAAGGAGTGGCTGGAGTTTGCTAGAAGGATCTATGTGGTAAGATGAAGCAATGAGTTTAAATACGATTGTTCCAGAATGAAGAGGGACGGACAGAATACCACAGATGATGGACATTGGGGAAGGCTACCCAATGAAGAAGAACAGAAAGTTTACAAGGGAGACTGAGAAGAAACAAGCAAACAATTTAGAAGGAAAAATTTTAAAATGAGTCATTTCTTAGAAGCCATTTTTATCAGAGGGGAAGCCTAGGAGGAAACAAACTCAGAACAGTTCAGATTCTTTTCAAGTTTGGAACAGCATCTTTAGATTCATAAGAACCATCTGAATAACACCTTCAGTCAGACCAGTCAGCCACAGTGACGTGTGTAACCTTTGGTTCAGCGGACCCCAGAAACATCTCCAGGCACATCATCATCTAGACAAATGGTGACTGACTGGCCCAATCAACGTTATGGTCTGAACGGTGCTAGGCCAGTTCCATGTGTTTTCCATAAGCACTGTTCAGGCTCGCTAGATGCCAAAACAATTGGTTAAAAAGTTAAATCAGAATTAATTTTATGAAAAAACCAATGCAACTGACTTTTGTCAAAAATCATATTTTAACATTACTAACTGAATAATTGGTTCACTAACCATGTTTTTCCCTCACTTGGTTCTTTTTCTGGAAAATTGGCACAGACACTGTAAAGTCATTCTGGCCATCACAAGAAGAGTGCAGGAAAATCTGCCCATGTATACTGTTCAAAGCATATTATATGCAAGCAAGTTCAGATGTGGGTTTTGCTCCATATTTACTGGTGCTTAAAATGTACAAAATCAGGCTGTTAAAATGCAAAGACACTGATAGGCCATATGGAAGAGAGTTATCAAGAGTTCTCTAGAAGACAGTCTGCCAGCCAGATTTTACTTGTTTAAACTGAGGGCTGCACTCTGCCGTCAAAATTGTTGTCGAACCTGTTGTGATAAATGGTAGTCTGAGACTTATGTAATGTATTCAAGGTCAGATTTCATTGTTTAAATAGGATGGAAGGGAAAGAATAAAAAAAGGGGGGACTGCTTCTCCAAGCCCCTGCTAATGATATGCCAGGCCAGACAACATTTTAAAGCAAAAGTGACATTCTCATTGATGAGGATACCTAGTGTACTATTACAATAAATTGCTGCTTAATTCCTGTGTTTTCAGGTAGTTGCAGCTACTACCCAAGGAGTTCCAGAGAACATCCTGCCACCGAGAATCACAGCCCTAAGTGCTACAGCTCTGCACCTGAGCTGGAGTGTCCCTGAGAAACCAAATGGCGTCATTAAAGAGTACCAGCTCAAGCAGGTTGGGCAAGGTCTCATCTACACTGACACCACTGACAGGAGGCAGCATACGGTCACAGGTAAAAAAAAAAAAAAAGGAAAACCTCCTGGAGGAGTCTGTCATTGTGGTTGGGGGTGGGGGGAAACATCCCAGGGGTGTGTGTTTGATATATGAGGTCACTCCAAAAGGACACGTTGTCTTGACATATGGTCAGGTCCCACTTATCCATGCTAATAGAAGTGCCCACACTGGCAGCAATAAGCCACAACAGCAGATAACTTCAGAAATAATTTCTATTTGGCATTGATATGCATTATGTGTATATTATGTGTAGGGTTTTTGCATCAGTATTAACTTTTTTTTCCCCAAACAAACAGTAAGATGCATTTTCATTCCCCAAGGATATATTCATAGATAAAGGGACTAAGATAGCCAAGAATGTATGGAAAGACAGGGGAAAATTAGCCAGGGACTAACATTTATCTACATAGTAGGCGATTAATACTCAGAACTAGGTGACAGGTGACTGGTTGTGACTATTTGTTATTATTATTAATGCTAATTAATAGTAATCATGTTCTTTTTAAGGTTTATTTTAACATTGTTTATTACAATTAGTTTTAGTAATATAATAATTGTATGGTAAAACAGCATAATGTTAGATCATTGCTGGTAGTGATTATAATAATAATTAACATTATTTTCATTCGAGTGTCATTTTCTGACTTAACCAGTCTGGGGTAGCTTCTCTAACACACCACCATGTCACCTTGTTTCATTTTTCATCACAGACTTCCCAGTGCCTGATATTTAACCATTTGTTTTTGTCTTTTTTATGTCTCTCCTCCACTTGAAAGTAGGCACCAAGAAAGTAGAGACCATGTCCAGTTTGTTCAATGATGTAGCTTGAGCACTTGGAATAGTCCTTAATATGCCGATAGGACCTAAATGAATCTTTGGGGAGTAGATAAATGAAGCATGTGTCAAATGCCCTCCTAAGCACTTTGCATGCACTAATTTAATTCTTATCACAAATGTATGGGATAGAGAGATGCTAAAATGCCTATGTTGAGAGATTAAATAGCTTAGTTCACTATTTGGGTCTACTGAATCATCCCGAACAATTGTGTAAATTTAAATCTGGAGATCACAGGCAAGATTTAACAAACTTCCATTCAAAAAAAAAAAAAGATAATTTACTTATTTATTTATTTATCTATTTCAATTTGACCAGAGAGGGGCGGAGAGAGAGAGAGAGTGAGAAAGCAAGCCGCCAGGTCCAGGACCTGAACCACAGGTGGCCATGCGCGAGTCCAGCGCCCTCAGCCACCACGCCACCTGCCAGCCCCACAAACTTTCACTTTCCCTATTGTCAGACAGCTCCTTCCAAGACCTCCTGAGTGAATGACCTCCTTCTCTTGGACCCCACACTTTGTAGGCAGTATTGAAAACACAGATAATGAAATTCACAAGTGCAGAAAGGTCTGGAAAAATGTGGCTGATTTTTCCTAAGAACAGACATAGGCTACACTATACAAGTAGAAAAATAAATTCATCATGTTTTGCTCTTACATGCCATAATTTCCTAACACATACAGAAGCAGTCATTGACAGAATCTCCAATTTTTTTTTTTCAAAAGTATAAGTCTGCAGAAGGTGCTTAATACATTTTTGTGGACTAGCACATTGCATTCCTTATCTCAAGATCCTGAGCTAAATCAATGATAATGGGGATGGGAAAAGCCCTCATCAATTCAAACGATCAAATTTGTTCCTTATATCTTATTTCACTTGAGGTGAAAATCATCACAAGTGATCGACATAATGTTGTTTTATATAACTTTGCCTTTATATGGTACTTTATCATTTTAAAGAATTTTTGCATTTTGACTTATTTGATTGTTATCACATCTCTATAAGCTAGGGATGTTTTTACAACTACATTCTAAAGATGGGAAAGAAAGCCGACTTGTTCAGGGTGTCCAAAGCATTGCCTCCCTCTACCTGTAAGAAAATCAGGATACTATTTCATTCCCTGACAAAAAAATGAGTGGTCTGTGTGCTGTGTTTTAAATACAGTACCAAGTGGGGTAAATAAGACTGCTGCTCTTAAGATACCCTTAGCAATAGAGAAGATTGGCAAGTAAAGGCATAACTGCAAAGACAGTGTAATGGCTACTACAGCAGAATTCTTTACAGAATACAGTGGTAGAAATCAAAAGAATTTGGGCAGACAGGCAGTGTACAGTGGTAATGAAACTAGACCCCCATGGAAAAGGTCCTGGGTTCAAATTTCAGAATTTTCTTGGGCATGCCTTGATCCAAGCTGGCTGAGACTGGGATAGACCAAAGCATGAAGATCTGTTGGCCAAAGAAATGAATGAATGAACTTAAACAAACAAACTAAGAGATAAAAGAATGACTTGGAGTAGACAAGAGGATATTAATTACAGAGTTTTGAAAGCTAAGTTAAGGTACATTAAGACTTTGTACCTTAAAGGTAAACCAGTATATGTTTAAACCAGTAAAGATTTTATAATAAACTGAGATACAAGGTCAAAGATATTTTTTTTCTTATCTCTTTCTACTTAACCAGCATTGGCTTTGAATTGTTGCCAGCTGTATTCATTTGCATTTTTTAGAAACCAGTATTTATGTGCCAAAAGACCAAATTCAATGTTCAAACTGATGGGATTGATAGCCTCATTAATTATAAAATAATTGCAAAGGCTTTTTCTTAAATACCTTCACGCCACGAGTTCTTTTCTTCATTGTCATTTTTAATGGATATTTGTATGTCAAAGGATTTGATACATACACCTTGGTGCTATATTTATTAGAATAAATATAGTATTCTAAAGTTTTTTTCTTCTACATAGCTTTAATTTTTACAAAATCGTAAAAAAAAAAAAATGGAAAAAACCTTTCAAAGTCAATTTATCTATTTAAAAAAAAAAAAAAAAAAGGAAAAAGCCTTTCAAAGTCATTTGATCTATCCCTCTGTTCTGTTTTAGATTTGGAGAATAATTCACTTGAGCAATACAGCCCTAAGGAAGGATTTCTTTGTTGAATGAGGAAATAAACTCCTCATTCAGCAAAACCTACTAACTACAGAGACTCCTGTATGCAGTTCCTATGGGACAAGAACGAGATTAGGCATTAGATAATCTAAAACCTGAAATCTATATAATGTTATGCATTTTATCAGCCTGGAAAAATGCAGTTCCATGGTTAGCTGACTGACCAAATGCAGTATGGAAGTATTTTATGATGTGAAAGACGGTTCTATTGAATTCATGGAATGAACTAAAATAATCAAATTTATTTCCCATTCCATCTCACATGTTTGATCAAAGAGCTGCCTGAACCCCCTAGGATAAATGTTTTGATTTTCTCATCATTTTCAAAACCTTGACATTCCCTAAGCAACAGAGCGCTAATGAAGCTGTAGCACTAGTCGTCTTGGAGCCTGAAAATCTGGGTCCTTAGAAATGACAGGAGGGAAAGCCAGCACCTTGCCTCAGCCCCTTCGTCTCCATGCTTATTTTTAATTACCTCAAAGCTTTAGAAACCTGATCCCGTAAATGCTTTGTGGGAATAGTGGCGAATGCACTCATCATGTGAAATCCATAAATTGCTTATAATCCTCTCAAGATGTTAAAAAAAGCATTAGGTAATTGAAGACAGGAAGTCCTCGGTTAATTATTTAGAGGTGTTATCAATGCTTTAAGTAAACTGAAGCGTTTTCTGCTATCTCACTGAGCTGAATACCACCGGGACGAAGGGGTAGCAGCCATCATCTTCTCATATTCGCTAATGCAAACAACGCATGGCAGCTTGTCAATAAAAGACCTTTTCATATCATTTATGACTAAACACATCCACCGCCCTGTACAGAACAATTTGGATGTCAGCTACGGCATTGTTTCGCTTTGGGTTAGCACGACTTTACATGCGGACCTCCTAATGTGGGCTTAGGGGGTAGGGGTGAAGGCAGAAGGATTAACTAAATAATTAAGGGCACCGAGAAAAAAATGAATTAATCGTGTCCTCTTTAGCAGCAGGCAGGAGAGCTTATGTGCTTCTTAACTCTGGGGAAACTGTTTTCAAAATAATTAATTAGAAGTTGCTGGTCTTTGCATTTCACTTAAAAGGAAAGATTCACTAGCTTTAAATTAGCAAGGAGAGAATGATTTGCCTCTCTTTTCTGTTCTCTTAGAAATTAGTGAAAACCTTGTGTGTAAATAGCACACACCCTAATATGCTGGTTGTGACAAAAAATGTAATACTCGTGCTATTCTGAAATTCATTTTTAAAAAATGGAGGACATAGTTTGACCATCAAAATAACAAAGTGTGGGAAATCTTTGTAAGGGAATTTTACTTTTAGATAACTCAACTGTGTGTGTCCATAGTAGCTTTGCTTTAGTGAGATTTATTGCATTTTGTCATTCATCCTTTTTTCCTGTTTCTATTCCTCAATCAGCAGTTAAAGCTTTTCAAAGGCAGAGACAATAGTTTCCTGCTTGCCACTGTGTCCTTGGAAACTATCAGAGTATTTAACATATTCAAAAAACATTCGTTGAATGCATAAATATTGAATAGTAAACTAGTATCTAAATAACTACATTCCATTTTGATTGGAGATAAAAATTCCACTGTCACACACCTCTAAATCTCAGGCAAGATAAGTTATATAACTTCCCGGGCCCAGTGCAAAATGAAAATGCCAGGCTCCTTGTTCAGAAATCATGAAGAATTTCCAGACAGTAAAAGCACAACATTGAAGTAAGTGTGGGTACTTCTAAGCATGAGACCTTGTGTTTGACCACAGGTTGCAAGCCTATGAAGCCAGCCCTGAATTTATTGGTGGTGTATTTTATTAATTGAAACATAGAAAATGAGGATGACCATCATGTTTTTCGAACAGCTTCGGGAGCATCTTCTGTTATACATAGAAGATCTTTGGCTATACTGCACTCACCACACACAATAATTAATTATTGACCACCAAGCATCAGACATGTGAAAATAAGAGAATTTTATTTTCATTTATTCAACTCTTAGGAAATCTAATTCT